GGCGGAGGCAGCGGAGCGCCGGCCCAGCGAGGGCGGCGCGTTTGTGTGTCGTGCCAGCGGCGGAGAAGGATGAGAAGGATGAGCAGGCACCGGTGGAAGCATGACACGAAGCGGAGCGCCCACAGAGCTGGCACAGTCTGTGCGGCTGAGAGTGTGTTTGAAGGATTCAATGCCACAAGTTCAAGGTCAAAAGAGTCTGTTCATGGCATCTGTTGGATGTTTGGGATTGCTTTGCATGCTGTGCTCTACAAAGGTTCCCCATCAGGTTTTGCATGGTTTTGCCCTGAAAAAGGCTTGGCATTCTTAAACATGAGCAAAAATGCCTGCCGGCCCTGCTCCTGCCAGATGTTCGGCACTCTCAGGGCTTCAGCGTATTCAAATCGTATTCGTGTCATTGGTTGGGCTTCGGCCAGCGAGCGCGCTTGAGCGAGTCCATGTGAGGAGAAGGGCGGGCCCACACCAGACTCCACACCAGAGCTCGTCCAAATGAAGCCAACACCCTCTCCGGCCCTTGGCGGTATCTAATGAGCATGTGCAGAGTAAGCACCTGGTCACCCAGCGTTTGGTCCACAGCTGCATGTTTTGCTCCGATTCCTGAACGAGTCAGCCTGCCTTAGGCAGCTGATGGCACGGTCCGTGCATCTCTGGGTCCAAGGGCCCAGCTTGGCCTATGGCCAGCTGGGCATGGAAAATGTCAAGCTACTTCAGCTCCGCATCTAGAGTCCAGAGCTGGAACTCTGGATAAAATGTGCCTTAATGCTGTAAATTCACACCTATGTTGCTGTTTTCATCCTCGTCTTCTATCCTCGTCTTCATCACCATCTCTGCCAGTCTCTGCGCGGCTCGCCCGGCTCGCCCGGATCGCCCCGTTCGCCGGCTCACCCATGCGCCACGGGCGGCAGGTTCACGGGGAGTTCGGCCGGTTGATGCCCTCGGGAGGCCCGCGAAGCCCGCGAAGACTGGGCTAGAAACAGGACTTGAGCTTGGCTCCCTGGGCACCAAAAACAATAAAAAACACGAATCAAAAGCCGCCGGGCTCCAGAGAATGCCACAGAAACATTTAAAAAGAAACTGCTCTTGAATGTGCGACTTGTAGTTCTCACTGTTCTCACTCCACTGTTCCTTGAAGCATTGGCCTGCATGTATGCATGTGCATGTGCGTATAGGCGCACACACACACACACACACACACGTCATACGGATATAGATAGGTTGATTTATATATATATATATATAACAAATTATAACAAAAGTTAATACGTATCCACGCATATCATGCCGCCGTATCACGCCTTCGCATGGCGCCGTTCCACCACATGACGCATCCGCTGAGACGTCACGTTTCGGGCCGCCGGGGCTCCGGCAGTGCAGCCTGTTGAACATGGGCTTCTCTCGAAGCGACCTGACAACGCAACCGGTGAGGCCAAGGGTTAGGCAAGGTCTTTCGGAGCCTCCCCACCCAAAAGCCTAAACAGAGCGGAGCATGAGTCTAGAGCCCTGAGCTGCTAACCTGACTCCTCAACATCCCTAAACAATTGCAGGAGCGAAAAAGGAACTAGTAACTACTCCTCCAAGAAACTCTGCTGAGGTTTGGTCACTCGAAAGAAATTCTTCGCACCCGTTCCAGGCTAATCCGTCTTCACATGTCTTCACGCGCCAACATCCGAAAACGCCTGGTGATGTCGCTGGTGCGGTGCTCCGTGCGGCGACTGAAGCGCGCCTGAGCTGCCTGGGCGGTGGCAGCCGTGTCCACCGGGACGTTCTTCCGTGATTGTATATGTGGCATTCAAGGCACAATGGTATCTTGAATGAAGGGCATTCAACTTCCTTTGCGACGGGCGCAAGGTTGAAGCCAGTTGCTTGCATCTTCTTCTGGGCAAGGCATGGGTCCATTCAATATAGATCAATAGCACACATCAGCACATCCTGCGTTCCAAGATGTTCCAAGAGCTGCCCCGCGAAGGGCCGGACATCAGTGCGCTACATTGACGGTGTTGAATGGTTTGGATATGCATTGACCCGCCCTGAAAGCAAGAGTCACTGAACTCACCTGAAAAATGTACTCTCCAAATGGACTCGACCAATGCATCTGGCATCCTCTGGCCTTGTCAATGACATTCAGCTTGTAGAGCTCCGGGCTGTCGTGGAATTTGGTCTTCAGGATCTCAGCGACCCGCGCGGACGGCGACCCAGGAGACGGCCGAGGAGATGGCAGTCGCATCAGAACAGCCGATCATGTGTGAAGATGGTGATGCGTTTGGGGAGAGAAGGATGGTGTGCTACGACTTCGTCGACCAGTTCTTCCCAACATAGCTGTGGGCATGCTGACGGACATTAATTACCAAATTGCCAATATATGTTTGGTTGACGGTTGACGTGCGTTCTGGACATTCGGAGGCCCTACAGTATTCACCCACTTGAAAGCCATTGAAATATATTGAAATGGTAGATATGTCACCATGCCATCATTCTGCCAGCGACGACCATTAGAATTGCATGTATTTATCAGGGCGCACAAACTCGTTCAATCTGTCAAACAGCACGGCCACCTGCTCATGCTGACATGCCGCAGCATAGTGATGCAGGTATTTTGTAACATGTTGTAACGACATGTGATTCAACATGTCACCGCCATTGATTCCTGGTGATAACAAAATCATACAAAATCAATGAACATCAACCAGCATCTCGTCCACCGAGTCTGCAGAACCCCACCCGCCCAGTCTGCGGCCGCCACACACGCGGAGCGCTTCGGCCGCCCAACCGGGCCATCCGAGCCGGCAGGCTTCGTGCCTCTCGCCGGAGCTCCCGCTGGCTGAAGTCCACGTGGCGCACCTCTTCGACGGACTTGGCATTTGATGGGAGGGATGATTTTCATGGTGCATCAAAGAGCCCCTAGTAGCGTCCTTGCTTCTAGTAGCGATGCCAGGAGCCCCTAGTAGCGTCCTTGTTCCTAGTAGCGATGCCCTTTGCTCCCAGTAGCGTCCTCCACGCGTATCACCTTGCGGATCCTAGTTCACTTGGCGGGTCATTGGGCCCCCGCCTCTTGTAGGGCCTTTGGCTGCTGGAGAGCGTCCAAGAACGACCTCACAAGCAACTGGGGTGGCTGCTGGCAGGTGGCAAGGACCAGCCAAACCTGGCCCTACAAGAGCCTCCACACATGACGATTGCACCACCAAAACAAAAACACGGCCTGCTAAAAGCAATACATGTGCAAAGAATCGCGCAACCGAGGCCACAAGGTTCATTGCCATCGGTGTCTTCCGCTTCATCATTACCCCTTGTGTTTCATCCGTTGCCCCCTCACGCCCCCTTCATTCCCCCCTTGTGTTTCATCCATTGCCCCCTCGCGCCCCCTTCATTCCCGCCTTATGTTTCATCCCCCTTGTGTTTCATCCATTGCCCCCTCG